AATAATAAATTAATATATTATATATATTATAATATTATTATATTATTAATATATTATATGTATTATTATAATATATATTATAATAATAAATTACTTAATATATTATAATACTAAATATATTATATAATAATCACTAAATAATAAATTACTTTGTCCAGAAGAATAATAATAAATGTGTCTAATTCTGAGAACAAGCAAAGCATTAAAGATATTTTCGAAAATTTTAATTATTACAGAGAGAGTTTGAAATTGGTTTTTATCAACAGAAATCAACTTCGTTTATAAATAACGTATTTTTAAAAACGAACGATGTTGGATAAAACAAATATTATCACGCTTTTTATACTTTAAAAAGGAAATCGATAATAAAATGTCGAAAGAAATTGGAAAACTTGAAAAAAGAAATATAAACGGACATTGCTTCCGTCTGAATTTGAAACAACGAAAGTACAGTTTGTGAGGATTTCCAAAAATTATTACAGACAACAATCTGAAGCGGGAAAGATCTGTTCTCGTCAACGGAAGTCAATTTCAAATTCTTATAAATAATTGAAGATAAAGTAAATTAAGACATAAATTTAACATAAATTGAAATAATTACAAGCTTAATCTAACCAAGAGAATTATAAATGTTTTTTAGAAAACTATTATCCTGCAGTATCATAAAGTTATACACGATTATAGTAATTTGTCCTATTGTTAGATAATAAAAACTTTGGATAACGAATTAGTACGTGGATAGTGACAAAATTTAATTAAAAATTCCTAAGTAATTTGAAATTCTAAATCATTATAACAAATCATCTATATTTGCTATTGATTTTCATACCAATTTTCGAAAATGTAATAAAAAGAAGGTAGAGTCTCGATAGAAAATTCTTTCACACGCGAAATATTTATTGCAATATATTTCAATATATTATACTTTGTACATTTCCTCATGTTGCATATTTACATTTACATCAATTTTTCACTTTGAATATCTCCTATGAACCTTTTAAAAGCTCACAGTCTAATAACGATGCCAATATTTAAGAAATTAATATCACGCGTGTCTTCGACGATCAAACTCTTTCGGTAGCGCGAGGAGCAAGAATTTCGTGGAAATCCGCG